GACGACGATACAGCGAGTTGAGGCGACGATACGTTGAGTTGACACGACGAGATGACAAGTTGAAGTGACGGACGACGAGATGAACATTTTGTCCACGATTTGACGTCATACCTGCAAAGGCAGACGTAGTTGCGGCTGTCGCTTGTCTCCGCCGAAAAATAATGTCGCAGAGACAAGCGACAGCCGGAAATGCGTCTACGTTTGCAAGCTACGTGAGTGATGATAATCCCGGGATTATGGACCTATTGTTTCCACGCTGGGCAAGCGTAATAATCATGGCTATAATGGTAAAGTAAATTGAGAGTATACGTTATTCAAGGTATTTGACGAAATTTAGCTCGAAATAAAGGACCGCAAAAGAGAGGCTCAGCCATTTCGTGATCGAGTCCCACATCCGCCGTTTTTGACGGGTCAGTATCGGGACATAGGATCTTTGACTGAAGGCTTCTGCCTCGGCACGAATTTCATTAAAAAACTTAATTTTACCTTTAGTTAGTTTCATGGTGTTTCTCTCGCTCTAAGAAAATTCACGATATTCGATCATCTGTATTCGGTTGTGGTTGCCGTGGACACAGTTCACTGTTCTCAGCGTTATCTGCATTCTAAATTATAAACGATTCAACAAAGGATTATCAATATGCACACGACCGTGACAAACGCGTGATATATTCACGATCCTTGCTTGTTGACGGCCGCAGTCTCGTACAACCAGGGTCATTCGTGCTGTCGCACCTTAGGCAAAGGTTCCGAACACCGTTAAATCCTATCAAAGGCGTTGCTTTAGATTTTGGACACACAGGTAAGCTTGTGTTTTGCGTATCCCAGAGGCATCCGAATACGTGTATTTTAATGTAGAAGGGCGGTAAATTATTCAAAGGACGAACGTTTTCGGTTAGTCTTAAATGTAAACTCTTACAACAGTGCTAGTTGTGGACTGGCGGGGTAACGTTTTGGCGAGTACGTTTTGCGTGCGACAAGCGGAACATTCAAAACGGCGATTCTCGATGCACGTCAACAAGGTCTCGATTCTGCACACGTACAGTGCTACAGG